CAGGAATGGTGCTGGGTTGAACCCCTCTAGGTGCAGAAAGCTTTCTACAACTCAGAACAGGAAGCAGAGCCTCCTCATCCCAGGCTTACTGAAGACAGCGAAAGGGTTTAAGGTTTATTTTCCTGATTCCCCAGAAGTTGTCCTGTAAGAAATATTCTCAAGAGTATTCTCAATGTCAGTGCACTCAAGCCACTGGTCAGGGAGGGGGGTCACACTTCCTATTGTGGATACCCCACAGCTGGGACTAGAGGTACATGCAGGCACAGCGCTTCGTGCTTTCTGTGCACCCACAATCCCATAACATGGGGGCTTAGGAAGTTTGCATAGCTTGCTCAGGGGCACATGGCTAGCACCCAGGTATGCCTCCCAGGCCCCTGCCTGCCCTAATCTCTGCAGTGTCCAAGGATAAGAGCCCTTCTCATGGGAAGGTCAGTGCCTTGAGTATGGGTTTGGGACATTGTTTTGACAATGTTCCTTTGTGGAAAGGTAACTTATATTCTCATGAAGGAGGGTTAATAGCTTTACATCGTATGTGTTACAAGTTGCCTTGCCTTTGTTTACTTCCTTAGCTATTTGTAGTCTTACAAGTTTTCACCTCCGCTTGTCACAGACAATTGGGAACATATCTCAGGTAGAATGAAATCTGTTTGCACTGTAAGCAGAGCTCAAGGTGCCCAGCTTGGGTAAGAGCTGGTAAGACATGATGCTTATGTTGTGTACTTGAGGCTGTTCATCCGGACAGACAGGACTCCTACGTGGGAACAAGACCTTCCAGTGGCACTGGAGTATGCTTGTTGCTTCTGTAACCCTCCAGCATCTCATAGGACTTTTGACTCTTAGAACATGCTTATTAGGTATTTCTGTCTTCTACTCCAAGATTCAAATGAACTGGTTTAGAAATATTGTTAGAATGTGACTGGTAAAATTTTTAAAAATCAAACTCACATTTAGGAAGATTTAATTAATCACAATAATATTATATTCAGAATTCAGTTTATAAGTTGATATTTGTTTCTTAAAAAGTATTAACTGTATCTCTCAAAACTCTTTCTTTCTTTTGTAGTTACTCAATTAAAAAATATTTTTTTAAAGCTTTTACCAAAGCTAGTTTGCTGAGCGAAATAGGGGAGAGTAGTGGGGGATGTTTGCTCTTACCACTGGTCCATGAACCCTTTTCCTTCTGCAGTGGACAAGATATGGTGAGCATTCTCCAGTTAGTTCAGAATCTCATGCACGGAGATGAAGACGAGGAGCTCCCGAGCACCCGGTAATGGAGAATGGTTGGCAGTGTCCCTCGAAAGTCTGTGTGTTCCTAATTTAGTAGTGATTGCATTCTGACAGGTTTCCCAAATCAAAAGCTATATTTCATTAAAAGTTAACATATGATACTAAAGCAGTGCCCTTTTTATTCAGAAAGACATTTATGTGTTTTAGACAACCCGTTTTGTAAAAGGAAGGCCCTTAAGTTGGGCCCTGTGGTTTTCATGACATGGTGTCTTTGGGAGGAGTTGGTAGAAAGACCAAGGGCTGTATGTTTTGTGCTTTTCTGCTTCTGCTTGCTGAGAGCTGCTATAGCCGAACTGATTGGCAGCAGCCTGTGTTGTCTCTGAGTCATCTTATTTGTTTATTCATCTGTCCGTCTACTTATTTTAGTCTTATTTTCTCTTTAATTTTTAAAAATTGTAATTTTTTCCAATAAGTAATGCATTCTCCTGGTTCAGAATTCAAATGATGGGGACCAGCAGGTTGCGTAATGGTTCTGTCACTGGACTCCCATGTAGTTAACCACAGTTCGAGTCCCAGGCCCATTGGCTTATAACTTATGTCGGGTGCATGTGCATGCGTGCCCAAAGTCTCAAGAAGAGAAGGGATTGCAGTGTGGCCATGTCCCCGGGGGGTGATTCTTGCTTTCTGTCTGTCTCTCTGGTGAGTGCGCATACCCTTTAACAACAACAACAACAACAACGTTTCAAACGAAAAAGAACAATATAGGAAGGCAATGTTCCTTCTTAACTTTAGCTCTTCATTGGTTCTCTTCCCTAGAGATGGAGTGTGTTACCAGTTTCTCATGTATTCTTCCAGACGTATTTTAGGGAACTTCAAAAAGTTTGTAGGGACCCAGCATGGTGGCAGTTGGTAGCAAACCGAACTGCTATGCTAGAAGCTACATGGCTGACCATAGGTTTGTATCCTCTGTTCAGCCTGAAAACACTCCAGGAACATGTGCCTGTGCTCAGCCTCCTGAAGAGCTGGAGGGCCAGGGAAAGGGGTTTCAGTGTGAAGAGACCCTGATAGGAGTGTGTCACAGGGCATGTGTGCTTGCCAGAGAGAGAGGAAGAGGGAGAAAATACCCCCCAGGGATTGGTCGCTCAGCAATTTCTCTGTTTCTCCATCCTGTTGGAATTTGAGCATGCACACACACACATGCCCAGAGTATTTTCCAAGTCACCAAGATTGGGATTCAAACCAGGATCAGCCATGTAGGATCTGGCTGCCTTAACTTCTAGACGACAGGGCTAGCCCTACTTTAGAATTTTTTTTTTTTAATTTGATCAGAGAGGGATAGAGTGAGAGATAGAGAAAGTGAGAAAGCAAGCCACCAGGTCCAGGGCTCGAACCACAGTCAGCCACATGGGAGTCCAGCCCCTTAACCACCACGCCACCTGCCAGTCCTCCTTTAGAATAATTTTAACTTGTATTTTTCTTAATGTGAACCAGGTTAAGTATCATTTTGCATGTTTTAGACCAATTTATATTTCCTTTTCTGTTAACCTCCTTTGCCCAGGACATCCTGTCTATTTATTTTCTTTTTCTCACTTTTTTTTTTTCGAATTGCCAGAGTGCATATATGTTTGCCAGAGAGAGAGGGAGAAAGCACTCCCCAATGGGGCATGATCACTCCAGAATCCTCTCTCTCTCTCTCTCTCTCTCTCTCTCTCTCTCTCTCCATCCCTCAGGATTTGGGGCACATATGCCTAGCATGGTTTTCAAGCCACTGGAGCTGGAATTCAAATCATGGTTGACCATGGCGGGGCCGAGGGGGATCTGGCTCCCTTAATCTCTAGGCTATAGGGCTAGCATCCCTCCTTTTTTTTTTTTTTTTTTTTTAAGTTTTCTGCTCATTTTATCTCAGCTATACCTTCCATGGTTCTTATGGCTAGTATTTAGTTTTTAAAGAATCTAAGAAATTATTCAAAACAATTTGTAGATACTCACCTGAGAAATGTTTATCTCCTAGGGTTCAGATTTCGAAAATGTTTTTCTCCCCAAATTATCAGTGCTTTGTAGACATTCAATTTCCACTTCTGAGCCATTAAATATTAGGTTGTCTGGGAAGTCACGACTTTGTTTTCTATTTGTCTATGCAAAAATGTGTCATGACTTTCCCAATAACCCAGTAGAGTTCTAAGTTTAACTAATTTCTGTGGAATACTGTGTTTCTAAATTTTATTTCCTTTCTTATGCTTTGCCTCTAGTACTTCTTTTAAACTAACAAATTTTGATTAACAGAATTCAAAATATTGGAGAACAAGGTCACATGGCTTTGTTGGGGCACAGTCTGGGAGCCTACATTTCAACTCTGGACAAAGAGAAGCTGAGGAAGCTTACAACCAGGATACTTTCGGATACTACCCTATGGCTGTGCAGAATTTTCAGGTAAAGTAAGACATCAGTTTTCAGTAGCCCGCAAAGACATTTACGAGGCAGGGACAGACTGTGAGGGATCTGTCTTCTAGAGTTCTACCTGGAGTCATAGCCGCCTCTTCTCTTTGGGAGGGATTGCCTAGACTCTCCCTGCCTCAGTTTCCTTGCCTGTTACATGGGGACAGAGATCTGTTCCGTGGAATTGTTGTGAGACTTCAGTGAGCTCATGGATTATTATATGCAAAGAGCTAAGAACATAAGCACATGTATGTTTGATAGTGTGAGCATTTATTTTTAGGATTTCTGATCTGGCACATGTTAGAAGATAGAGAGCGATGATCTGGATTCAGATACTTCTAAAATATTACCTTGTGCCTCAGTAAAAAGGAAATGCTGTTGTGAGGGAGATGAGTGTGAGTTATGAGCCTGAAATTTGCTCTGTACAGTGATAATGCTGCCATTACTAAGTAATTACAGCGACAAGGCCAATGGTATTGTGTTTCTGCTGTTACTTCAAAAAAGATCGCTAATGTTAACATTTGACATAAGAGACCCTCACTTTCAGATGTTGAGAAAGAGCCTAACTTGGCAAAAACAGCTCATCTAACTTTATTATGAGGAGAAATTTTTGGTTGTTCTAGTAAAATCTAACACCTATAATTGTAAATATCCCTCCTCTGCTAGGAGATTAAAGACTTCTCCCCCCACCCCACCCCACCCCCCCAAAAAAAGCTGATATAGTGAAAGCAAAAGTTAGCCTGACTAGTGTTTCTGACAGCTTTATTTACTCTAAATGTTTTTGGGCAGAACCCTGCTGAGAGCCGTGTCTGTGTTCTCCGGCGGCAGTCATCTGCTAGATAAGCCAGAACCATGTCTCTAGGCTTGGGGGGTCAGGGGTGTTTGTTTCTAGTGTCTGGGTGAGTTCCTAGTCTCTGCTCATTTTCATGGTTTCTGTTCTTTGTGGACTTGGTTCTGCATGAGAAGGGTCTTTGCCCCCGTCCTATCTAACCAACTGTAGTGAGTTGCCAGGCTCCTAAGATGAGGGAGCTTTTCCTCTTTGTGCTCTTTGGCTGATCTGGGTGGCCTTTTCTGGCTTCAGAAAAGTTGCTTTCATGGTTATGAGGTTGAGATGTAAAATCAGAAATACCACATATCAATATGTAGGTGTCTCTCAATAGGTACGAAAATGGCTGTGCTTATTTCCATGAAGAAGAAAGGGAAGGACTTGCGAAGATCTGTAGGCTTGCCATTCATTCTCGATATGAAGACTTCGTAGTAGATGGATTCAATGTGTTATTTAACAAAAAACCTGTTATCTATCTCAGCGCTGCTGCTAGGCCTGGCCTGGGCCAATACCTTTGTAATCAGGTAATTCGGTAAAGTGGAAATTTTAAAGGAACAATGTTTTGCTCCAAAACTTTTCAAAGCATGTAGACCAATTTTTTAGCTGCCACTGTTTTCAGGCAAAAAGGTGATTTTCTTTTCATGTTTCATTTTTAAAGTTTTATTTACTTTTTTAGAGTAAATAAAGGTTTTTATCTTAGGGCATGTGTACTTGCTAGAGAGAGAGAGAGGAGACAGATAAACACAGTGAGGGGCGTAGTGAGAAATCACTCCCCGAGGGAAATGGCCATGCTGTAATCCCTTCTCTTCCATTGTCCTCTTGAGACTCTGGGTATGCATACACACACACCCAGTGTCATTTTCAAGTTGCCAGGTCTGGGATTCAAACTGTGGTAGGCCATGTAGGTGTTAAGTAATGTAACCACTACGCCATCTGCTGGCCTCCGGCTTGACTTTCTAAATGTACATTAACATATAATATTAAGCGGTCTCAGGAGAGATTTTTTTTTTATGAGAATTACTGTGGCTTGTCTTAGACCACAGTCTCCAGGATCCTACGTGAATGGTGGCAAGATCTTTCTCCTAAAGGTGCTTCTTTCTTCCCACAGCTCGGCCTGCCCTTCCCCTGCTTGTGTCGTGTGCCGTGTAACACTATGTTTGGATCCCAGCATCAGATGGTGAGTTTTCCTTCCGCCTTTGGTTTTTTGTAAAACAATATGGTATTGTGTGTGTGTGTTTTTTTTTTTTTTTTTAGGTTTTTACCTTAGGGCACTGCACTCACCAATGAGGCAGAGATGGTAAGAAAAAGTGAGGAATCACCCCCCAGGGGGAATGACCACACTGCAATTCATTCCCCTCAACTCTCTTCCAGGGATTTTGGGCGCACATGCACACACACATGCCTGGTGTGAATTTCAAGACACCAGGTCCCTGACTTGAGCTGTGGTCAGCCATGTGGGAGTCCAGTGACGTGACTACTATGCCATCTGCTGGTTCCTGTAATTGTGTTTTAAAACTATCTTCCTTTCCGTTGAATTCCTGTTTGTTATAAATGAAGTTAAATAAAAGAGGGGGGGCCGGTGACAGGTGGTGTGGTAGTTAAGGGTGCTGGACTCTCACATGGCTGACCCATGTGAAGGTCCAGACCTGGCACCTTATCTTCTCTCTCTCTCTCTCTCTCTCTTTCTCTCTCTCTCACTCTGTCCCTCTCTGGTCAAAGTAAAATAAATAAATAAAGTTAAATTAAAAAAAAAAAAGAGGAAATCCTTTTTGTTGGCCTCTAGATAATTAATTCATTTTTTCGTTTATTGCTTAGGTCTTTACAAAGTTATGTAATACTTCTGTGTTTGAACATCTGTGAAGGTCGGCTGGTATATAGGTCAGGAACACAGAGCACCTGTCTCATAAGGAAGTTTGTAATTACTGTGTTATCTACCTTAGTAGGATCATGGCAGCTCAGTTAAACACCCGAAATTCCTCCTAACTCTCCTACGAAGATAGTTACCATTGTTGCCTAGATTTACAAATGGGTGGATTTTGAACATGAAGTTCTTCATTGTAAACATGGGAGTAAGTCCTGCTTATTTCAGACTTGCAAGTGATAAGCCTCTTCATTTAAAGCCAGAAATAAAAGGAGTAGGTTTTGGGTTCTGCATTTTTTTTTTTCAAGGTAGTTTCATTCTCCAGCTCAGGCCCTTGCATGTGTGATATTGGAGATACATTCTGGCTGTCTGGGTCGGGGTAAGATAACATTTTCTTCAAATGCCGATGTTTAGAGAAACGTCTGTACTGCCTACCTAACAGTTTTTACCTTTAATTTCACATAACTGATTTTTCTAATTAGTTGTCAAGGAAAACTATTTGATTTTAACATCTATGATTAGAAAAAAACAGACTGTCAAGAATAAGAATTGAAGGCCGTCTGGTGGTATGGTGGTTAGGGCAGCTGTATCATATATGACCAACTGTGTGGTTCGAGTCCTGGATGTGGAAGCTTGGGAAACACGCCAGGCATGTGTACATTCTTACCCAAAATCCCAAGAGGAGAAGGGTTTACAATGTGGCCATCCACCCTAGGGGGTGCTTTCTCACTTTCCCTCTTACTCTCTGTTTCTCTCCCATGAGTGCAGGCGCCCTTTAGCAAATTTTTAAAAAAAGGGCAGAAAAAGAATTGGGTGATTAATTCTGAGAGGCTTCTGTTTCCCTCAGAAGTCACAGGTTTGCATTGTGTAACTTGCGCTGGTGCCCTGTGTTTTTATAGTTTGTTTTTGGTCCCAGGATGTTGCCTTTCTGGAGAAACTGATTAAAGATGATGTAGAACGAGGAAGACTGCCTCTGTTGCTCGTGGCAAGTGCTGGTAAGTATCACAAACCGAGCCTTCCACGTTACACACATGGCAGAGGCTGGGGCCAGGCGGCACAGCGGCGATGCAGCTGGACCCACGTGACAAAGGTCCTGTTCACGTCCTGGGACCTCCCTGAGCATTCTGGGCATGCACTCCAGGGTGGCTCAGGCTGGATATGGGTCACAGTGTGAATTCACTGTCGACACTTGCGTTTGTGAATTTTATTGTCTATAAATTATACTTGGGTAAAACTTAAAAAAAAAGGAAACAACAAACACTTCAGTATCCTTATTGCCAGCAGGAAATCCACCACTTCCTGCTTGGCTTGCCTGATTGTATGTTTAAAAAGAAACATTAATCTGTCTTTATTCGATCAGTCGGTAGACCGGAGGGGCTGCAGTTTGCATGTGACTAAGTGACTTACCAGCGTGACTACATTGCAGTCACCAGAGTACACATCTCGGGCGAGTTAGCAGACACTGCCAAAAAACAGTAAAAGGGGACCTGAGTCCAGTGCAGCCAGACTCTGCCCTCTGCTCTCACTTTGATGGAAGGCTCGTGCGGCACCTCAGGCACTGGCCTTCGTCTTGTTTCAACTAAATGACATGTGTGCGTTCTTCTTCTTTTTAATTCGAGATAGATTTGGGGGGAGGGGAAGTTTCAGCTATTTTACTGGCATAGACCTTGCAAATAATCACTTTTGGGGGGGGGAGAGACTTTTGCTGTAGGGTGCTTGTACTCACCAGAGACAGAGAAAGAGTGAGAAAGTACCTCTGGGGGGATGGCCAGGTCACAATCCCTTCTTCTTCATTCCCGGGATTTGGGTCATACATGTGCTTGTGCTGAGTGTGAGTTTCAAGCTGCTGAATCCAGGACTCGAACTGTGGTCAGCCATGTGGGAGTCCAGCTGCATTGTGTAACTTGCGCTGGTGCCCTGTGTTTTTATAGTTTGTTTTTGGTCCCAGGATGTTGCCTTTCTGGAGAAACTGATTAAAGATGATGTAGAACGAGGAAGACTGCCTCTGTTGCTCGTGGCAAGTGCTGGTAAGTATCACAAACCGAGCCTTCCACGTTACACACATGGCAGAGGCTGGGGCCAGGCGGCACAGCGGCGATGCAGCTGGACCCACGTGACAAAGGTCCTGTTCACGTCCTGGGACCTCCCTGAGCATTCTGGGCATGCACTCCAGGGTGGCTCAGGCTGGATATGGGTCACAGTGTGAATTCACTGTCGACACTTGCGTTTGTGAATTTTATTGTCTATAAATTATACTTGGGTAAAACTTAAAAAAAAAGGAAACAACAAACACTTCAGTATCCTTATTGCCAGCAGGAAATCCACCACTTCCTGCTTGGCTTGCCTGATTGTATGTTTAAAAAGAAACATTAATCTGTCTTTATTCGATCAGTCGGTAGACCGGAGGGGCTGCAGTTTGCATGTGACTAAGTGACTTACCAGCGTGACTACATTGCAGTCACCAGAGTACACATCTCGGGCGAGTTAGCAGACACTGCCAAAAAACAGTAAAAGGGGACCTGAGTCCAGTGCAGCCAGACTCTGCCCTCTGCTCTCACTTTGATGGAAGGCTCGTGCGGCACCTCAGGCACTGGCCTTCGTCTTGTTTCAACTAAATGACATGTGTGCGTTCTTCTTCTTTTTAATTCGAGATAGATTTGGGGGGAGGGGAAGTTTCAGCTATTTTACTGGCATAGACCTTGCAAATAATCACTTTTGGGGGGGGGAGAGACTTTTGCTGTAGGGTGCTTGTACTCACCAGAGACAGAGAAAGAGTGAGAAAGTACCTCTGGGGGGATGGCCAGGTCACAATCCCTTCTTCTTCATTCCCGGGATTTGGGTCATACATGTGCTTGTGCTGAGTGTGAGTTTCAAGCTGCTGAATCCAGGACTCGAACTGTGGTCAGCCATGTGGGAGTCCAGCATCCCAACCACTACACCACCTGCTGGCCCAAGAACCACTTTCTTTAGTTGTGTTCATCAATAAAATTTGGTGAGGGTCTGCAGTCTTATGAGTTGAGATTCTGCTAACTGGAAATGTTGGACCTCTGGGAGAATGCATGACTCTATATTTCACTTAAGCTCTGTCTGAAAAAGGGATCTGCCCTGCAAAATCTGTAGTGCAAGCAGATTACGCAGTGGCTCAGAGTGTTCCCTATGTCTGGGCTGTGTCAAGATGCATGTCCTATGTGAACAAATAATGCAGGTGGGGTTAAAAACAATCACCTACATATTTGTTTAATAAAAGGCACACCTGGCCAGCCACAGTACAGCAGTTACACACACTGTTTGATGTCGAAGCCACATGCAGGTCCCGAGTTCACGTCCCGAGGTCTCCCTGTACAAGCTGGGTGTGCATGTGCACACCCGTGGTTCCGGCTGGCCAAGGCTGGGAGTGAAGATCCTGTTGGTAACACTTCACTGCCTCTCTCTCTCGAGGAAGAGATAAAAAAAAAAAATTTAAATCAAAATAACCCAGAAATTCATGATAAAATAAAGAGGTTGAAAGGGTATTTTGGGGAAATGCTAACAAAAGTATTGTAGCAATATTAATGTGAGATAAAATATACTCCGTATTAATCTAAGAGATGTAATATTTATGAACATAACTTTGAAATATGTAAAGGAGAAAACCAGGCCAACCCCACAGCTTGGTCGTTAAGGGAACTGAATCCCACATGGCCCCTGTTCAGATCCTGGCCCTGACTGTTTACAAACATGCTGGGCACGTGTGTGTGCCAGAATCCCACCAGGATCGAGAAATGGAAGAGAAGGGATTGCAGTGTGACCAGACCCCACTGGGAGGTGCCTTCTCTCTGTTTCTCTCCCTCTAGCAATGAAAAATAAAGAGAAAAACTGATGGTGTACAAATATAAATTGACTTGGTGGGAGACTTGAATATATTTCTCGTGAGCCAAGTGGATAGAAAATCACTCTTTAGAAGATTTCAGTAACACAATTAGAAATAGGTCATGGAGAATGCAAGTGCCTTAAAATGTGTATAAATCAACTTGCAAAACTTGATTTTAAGTAAGTCCATGAAGAAAACCTCAGTAAAATAGGGCTAACATGTATAAAAGCTTTTGCGCTATGGGGCTGGCTCATGATGTGGTGGTTAAGGGCAGTGGATTCCCACATAGCCAACCACGGTTCGAGTCCCAGAGCTGGCAGCTTCCTTTCTCACTTCTTCTTTCTCTTTCTTAATCTCTCTGGCTCTGTCCCTCTCTAGTCAAATAAGTAAATAAATAAAGTTAAATAATTCTTTAAAAAGAAAAAAACAGGTTTTCTTAAAAAAAAAAAAAAAAAAAAGCTTTTGTGCTACAAAGATGCAGGAAATACTTGTTGCTTCGACTATCCTTTCTGTCTCTCCCAGGAACTGCGGCAGTAGGGCACACAGACAAGATTGGGCGTTTGAAAGAACTCTGTGAACAATATGGCATATGGCTTCACGTGGAGGGGTAAGGAGACAAGGCTGAAGGGCTCCCCGTGGGGCCTGCATGCGGTCCTCACACGGGGGGCATCCAGGTGCTCGCCTTGTAATGACTATCATAGAAAGCTCTCTTGGTTACAGATAACATAAGTACCCAAATCGACTTAACCAAAACCAAAAACAGATTTTCTTGGCTCACATAGTTAAAAAGACCGGTATTAGGACTGGTTTTAGGTGGTGCCAACCGCGATTCAGTGCTTCCCTGTCCCCTCTCTGGGTTCCCCTATATTGACTGTGCCTTACAGTCAGAGTAGCTGCAGGAACTCCAGCCTTCCTTCCAGCTTCAAGTTCAGTGACCCAGCAAAAGCCTCACATTGAACCTACCAGGGGAGTGCAGTGTTCTGGTAGTTTAGATGGTTGGCAGCCTTTGGGGGCAGCTGGGGTCGTCTCCACGCAGAGCTCCTGTCTGAGAGAAAATGGGGATAGTTTCCCAGAAGGCTGTTGAATGCACTTAAAGAGACGGGGGGTGAGGACACAGCAGCCATAGTGGACCATATCCACCACGTGACCCAGAGTAGGCTTCTTCCTTTATCCCTCAGAAGAGATGATGGAAAACAGCAGCTGCAAAAATCACAGGACAGGACACCACTCTACTAAGTGAGGAGGGGGACGTCCTGGAAACAATGTTCGGTTAAAATGCATTTTCAGGGTTTCCCCCCAGTTTTGTCTATATACCAGTCTCCCATTGGTGTTAGCAAAGCTAGTAACAGCTGACAGACTTCTAAATGTCAGTTGGCAAGGCTTTATTTTATAAAGTACGTGTTAGCGAGTAGCAACGTTAATTCTTACAGTGGTGTTTTTACTTCCAGTGTGAATCTGGCAACGTTGGCTCTAGGTTATGTCTCCTCATCAGTGCTGGTATGTTGTTGATTTACTAAATACTGGTTTTTGTTTGTTTAAGGTTGTTGTCACAGGGCATGCACGCTCACTGGAGAGAGACAGTGAGAAGGAAAGTAAAAAATCACCCCCAGGAGGGTGGCCACACTGCCAGGTCCAGAGCTCAAACCTAAGGTTAAGGTAAACTGAGACCCTGTGGGAGTTCGCCTTAACCACCACACTACCTGCTGGACCCCGAATACTAGTGTTTTTAAGAAGGAATTTAAAATCATTCTGTCCCTGATGGCTTTTCACAGCTTTTACGAGTGGAGGAGGATGCTGAGTGTGGTGTCTGATAAACCTAATAAGGTGTTCTCTTGTCATAGGCTGCAACCAAATGTGACAGCATGACATTGACTCCTGGCCCTTGGCTGGGTCTGCCAGCGGTCCCTGCCGTGACACTCTATAAACACGACGATCCTGCCTTGGTAAGCCAGCGGTCGCTGGGAGGGAGTTGGCAGTGCTCATAATCATTACTGATTATGAAGCTATGACATTTTTTCTTAATTTCACTTCTGTTACATTCTTTTCAAAATAAAATTTTTAATGTAAATGAGACCATTCCATAGGTATTTTTCTGTTTATTCACCCTGTACATCCCCCCCCATGTGTCTGTAGAATTTATTAGCGAGGTTTCATGACCGCACAGTGCTGTTACTTAAGTATCACAGTTTATTTACTCATTCTCGATTGTGAACTTCTAGACTGTTACTGCAATAACGAGACAATGAACATTTTTCTGCATTTAAATGATTTCCTTGGAATAGGTTCCCAAGAGGGAAACTACCAAGTCAGAGTAGTTTAAGGCTCGTGCCCACATCGTCCAGTAGATGCAACGTAGTATCACTTTAAAAACCATAGTTGTGGTTCTCGATAATAGAGCCATTAGTGACAGGCACGGGTAGAATACGCTCAAGTGGCTGCTGTGACGGTTGCTTGCTGACTTGTTCTTGACGATGGCCAGGTATTTGAGGGTGCTCGGGACACTTGAGAAAGGGCTTCCTCTAGAATGGCTAAGAGCTCCAGCTCTGGGGTGACCCCCCTGGTTTTCATCCTGACTTTGCCACTCCTTAGCCGGGAACCTGGGACAGAGTCAGGTCTCCCTGCCAAGTTAAGGTCAAAGGGACAGTGCTAGCCCCGCGTCCAGTGTAGCATCTGTCACAGACCGAGTGTAGTTAAATGGTAGCTAGTTTCTTTCTTTCTTTTTAAGTTTACGTATTTGTTTTTTCCACAAGTGAGAGAGGACAGGGTCCTGACCATGATCCACCCCACCTTCAGCCACTCCTGGGTCACAGCACACCTGCACCCTGCATACTCAGAGGTGTCCAGGTGCACACCAGGCACTCCCCATGGGCCAGCCTCGCAGAGCATGTGTTTTACTGCCATGCACCATCCAGCCCCTGTAAATGGCAACTAGTTTTACCAGATTTCAATGGCGCTCTGGTTCCTAAATGCATGTGGGTTCTTTCAGACTTTTTTTTTGGGGGGGGAGGGGGGTTTGCTATAGGGCGCTTGTGCTCGCCAGAAAGAGAGAGACAAAGCGAGAAATCACCCCCCAGGGGGATTGGCCACGCCACAATCCCTTCTCCTCCATTCTCCTCTCGGGATCTTGGGCACACACGCACACGCGCCCAGCATGAGTTTAAGACACCGGGTCCAGTACTAGAACCTGGGTCAACTACATGGGAGTCCAGCGGCATAGCCATTACACTAACTGCTAGTCCCGGTTCTTTCAGACTTTAGTTGCCGGTCTTACGTCAAATAAGCCAGCAGACAAACTCCGTGCCCTGCCACTGTGGTTGTCCTTACAATATTTGGGACTCGATGGAATCGTGGAGAGGATAAAGCATGCCTGTCAGCTGGTGAGTAGAAACTGAAGGTTTACATGAGTTTAAATGACTTTTTGACAAAAGCAGAGATGGAAATTATTTCATTTATGCACCTTTCATCCAATACCTCGTTTTAATTTACCATCTCAGAAGCAAGCAGACGGTTTGCCCTGCTCATACATGTTTCTTGTTCAAAGCTGTGGGAGAGACTGCAGTCTTCGCAGTGTTTGTGTCTAGATGGCGTCAGCCTGAGTCCTAGTGAGCGCAGGGAGAGTGGAGACGTTATAGCATGGCTGCCAGTGCTTGGAGAGGGTGCCAAAGGGGTGGATGCAGCCCGACTGCCTGGTGCTCCCGGGTGACAGAATATGAAGTTTGAGGATTAAGAACAGGGGCCAGCAGGTGGCATAGTGGTTAAGGGCATGGACTTCCATATGGCTGATTGCAGTTCCAGTTTTGGACCTGGTAGCTTGCTTTCTCATTTTTCCCCCTCTCCCTCTTTTTCATACTCTATTCCTCTCTACCTAAATCAAAATAAATAAAGTTAAATAAAATTTTATAAACAAGATTGAGTACAGGTTATGTGTGGTTTCGTTTTTCTTTTTTAGCGTTACTGATTTTATTCATGATAGCTCACATACAGCATGAGAGAAGCACCCTCAGTGGGGTCCGTCACAGTGCAGTCTCCTCGCCCCAGCCTCCCATCTCATCAGGCGCTCAGGCAACGTACACACGCCCAGTGTGTCCCAGGTCCACCTAGCCAGGGATCCAGACCCTCACTTGGCCCTGCGGCTTCTAGTGCTGCCGTTCTGTGTGCTACTGGCTCTGCCACCGGCTAGGCTGGTGTGGGTACTTGAGCACCAGCTGGTTCGGGTTCCCCATTTCGGGCTTTGGAAGCAATTTTAATTGTCTTTTCATATGATGTTTTGTTTTTGCTTTTAAATTTGCCGTCGGGTGTGTGTGCTCACTGGAGAGAGACAGTGTGTGTTGGGGGGTGGCCACGCCACAGTCCCTTCTGTATACTCTCGTCTTGGGATTTGGGGCACACATGGACACGTAGCTGGAGGGATTTCAAGCTACCAGGCCTGGGATTTGAACCAGATTGTTGGCCTTGTGGGATCCAACCGCCGTAACACACTCCTTAGCTGGCCCCATTTGAGGTTTTCTAATTGTGAAAAATGTATAATTCATGTCTTAGTCCTTTCAGGCTGCTGTAACACAATACCTTACATCAAGTAACTTACAAATAACAGAATTTTACTGCTTTCAGTTCTGGAGGCTGGGAAGCCGAGGATCAAGATGCCAGCAAATCTGGTGTCTGACGAGGGCTCACCCCTCATAGATGGCACCTCTGTCCTCACAAGCAGGGAAGGGTGAGAACAGTCCCTCTCCCCTCTCCTGTAAGGACACCACATCCATTCAGGAGGCTCCACCCTTGTGCAGGAGTCTCTTCTGGGAAGCTTCACTTCTTTTTTTCTTTTTTTTTTTTTTACTTTTTTTTTTTTTTTTTTGGAGAGGTTTTCGCTATAGGGCACGTGCGCTCGCCAGACAGACAGACAGAGACAGAGAGAGAGACAGAAAGCGAGAAATCACCCCCCCCCAGGGGGGATGGCCATGCCGCAGTCCCTTCGCCCCCATTCTCCTCCCGGAATCTTGGGCATGCACGCACACGTGCCCGGCGTGAGTTTTAAGCCACCAGGTCCATGACGCGAACCGTGGTCGACTATGTGGGAGTCCAGGGGCATAGCCATTACTCTAACTGCTGGTCCCTGAAAGCTTCACTTCTTGATACTGTCTCGTTGGGGCTTAGGTTATAACTTAGGATGAATTGGGGTGGGGAGGAGAGGACACAGACACTAAAGTCAGCGTAGAAAGCAGAGGTCGCGTTCTTTCAGTGAGAGGCCTGCCGCCGGCCTAGGCTCAGAAGCATGATGTCACTTCTCAGAGCTTCCGCCTGTCACCTGCGGAAGTCGGGATCGTAGTCAGCACGGGGGTCATTGCCAGGGTTCAGTGGGTATTAATTACACGGGAGCTCTTAGGAGTGCCTGATCACGGTAAATATGCGTAAAGGTTCAGAGCTTTGGTTTTTTTTCTGTTTTGTCTTTTTTGTGTGTTTTTCATTTGCCAGAGGGTGCATGCACTCACCGGGCACAGAGAGCCCCCATGGGGCACAGTCAGCTGCAATCCCTTCTCCCTCAATTCTCCCTCCGTCCTTGATTGTGGGCACATCTACATGCGCTCAGTGTGATTTTCCAAGCCACCAGATCCGGGATTCGAACCACAAGTTGGTTATATGGGCTTCAGCTTCTCTAGCCACCACAATGCCAGCTGATCTTAAATCTTTGTTTAAAATATATCTTGGGAGGGACCAGCAGATGGCATAATGATTACATCACGGTTGGGGCTTAGGTTATAACTTAGGATGAATTGGGGTGGGGAGGAGAGGACACAGACACTAAAGTCAGCGTAGAAAGCAGAGGTCGCGTTCTTTCAGTGAGAGGCCTGCCGCCGGCCTAGGCTCAGAAGCATGATGTCACTTCTCAGAGCTTCCGCCTGTCACCTGCGGAAGTCGGGATCGTAGTCAGCACGGGGGTCATTGCCAGGGTTCAGTGGGTATTAATTACACGGGAGCTCTTAGGAGTGCCTGATCACGGTAAATATGCGTAAAGGTTCAGAGCTTTGGTTTTTTTTCTGTTTTGTCTTTTTTGTGTGTTTTTCATTTGCCAGAGGGTGCATGCACTCACCGGGCACAGAGAGCCCCCATGGGGCACAGTCAGCTGCAATCCCTTCTCCCTCAATTCTCCCTCCGTCCTTGATTGTGGGCACATCTACATGCGCTCAGTGTGATTTTCCAAGCCACCAGATCCGGGATTCGAACCACAAGTTGGTTATATGGGCTTCAGCTTCTCTAGCCACCACAATGCCAGCTGATCTTAAATCTTTGTTTAAAATATATCTTGGGAGGGACCAGCAGATGGCATAATGATTACATCACGGGACTCCCATGTAGTTGAACGCAGTTCAAGACTCGGGCCTGGTGACTTAAAACTCACAAGAGGCGTGTGTGCGTGAGCATGTGCATGCGTGCGTCTGTGTGTGTGTCCAAAGTCCCAAGGAGAGAGTGGAAGAGAAGGGATTGCAGCTTGGGCATCCGCCCTGCCCGTGGATAATTTCTTGCTTTCTGCCTCTCTGTCTCTCTGGCAAGCACCCTATAGCAAAAATCTTCCCTCTTCCCCCCCCCAAAAAAAAAAATATATATATATATATTCTTGGGAAATTGGTACTTCAAGTTTTGTTGTTGTTGTTGTTGTTAAGATTTTTTGCCAAGGGCTCGTGCACTCAACATAGAAAGAGAAGAAAAATGAGAAATGTCCCCCCAGGGGGATGACCAGCCAGACTGCAATCCCTTCTCCATTCTTCTCTCAGGATTTCGGACATTCAATGGACTCATGCAGGCGTGATTTTCAAGCCACTGGGTCTGGGACTCCAACCACAGAGTCAGCCCTGTGGGATCCACTGCCTTAGCCACCTCACCACCTCCTGGCCCTCAAGTGTCATGTTTATATTTAAGAAAAATGAATATTTTCCTACTGCTATAGCAGTAATCCTTTTATTAATAATAAAGATCACTGGGCTCCCACGAAGTTGACCGTAGTTTAAGTCCCGGACCCAGCAGCTTAAAACTCACGCTGGGTACGTGTGTGTGTGCCCAAACTCCCGAGAGGAGAACGGAGCAGACGGGATGGTGCTGTAGCTGCCCACCCTGGGCTGATCTCTTGTTCTCTCTGTTTCTCTCTCTGGTGAGCCTGCAATCTCTTTCAAAGAAAAAATAAAAATGTGTCAAGATAGGACATTTACACATTAAAAATAATTTTATAATTTCTGACACTATTTTTGTGACAGTATCACATTTAAAAATTGTTCTCATTGGGCCATTACCTCACATCTTGAGGTTGTGTTCTTAGGAAAAAGAAGCCTTTAGGGAGGGTTTGTGCCCTTGGGAAGATTTTTTCAGTTCCCTGTGGCCTGTGGTGTGCAGGAAAATGATGACGACATGAACTACCACACCCTTGAGGTCACCACAGCTCTAACATCTGCCACCAACAGTGCGGCTGACCTCAGAGGCCGAGCTGGGCGTTCCCCGGGGACACGCTTCGGGCTGCTCAGGCTGCTCGCAGGGTCCCTCAATGCCTTCGCTCTCTTAAGAGCAGAAGCCAGTCTTCCTCTCCAGCCCCGCCTCCTCTTTGTCCCCTGCACTGCTTGCTGGGGTGCATTTATGGAGCATTTCCTTTGGGCCCAGCCCCCTGCGCCCTCTCATTTGTTCCCCACAACTTCCCTGGAATGCGAGTTCCTTGATAACAAGGAATTAATTCGTTTTCACGAGGGCCTTGCCAGCATCTGACGCTAAAGACACATCTGGAGAAATACTGTACGCCAGCCCAGTGAGCACAGTATTATTCCCCGTATCAGTGATGAGGGAGCTGGGACCGAGATGTTAAACATGGTGACGCGCCTACCATGGTGGCCTGTGCTGCTAGACTGCTCCGTGGACTTCCACGTAGGAGGCCTAGGTTTGCTTTCTGGTCAGACCTAAAAGCCATGCACAGTGGTGTGCACGTGTAGTCCCAGGGGCTGGGGGAGGCGGAGGCGTAAGGATCATCACCTGGGAGGCCGGGGTAGGAGGACACAGCAAGACCTTGTCTAAAACAAGACAGGCAAGCCGATGACCGTGGTAGCCATCCCTTGGGCAGTGATCTCTGTTCCAGACACTGTTTCTGAGGATTGAATGTATGCCAGCTTGTTTTGTCTTCACAACAACCCTGCAAGGTAGATGCTATCATTCCCATTTTATAGTTGAAAGCACTGAAGCACAGAGAGGCTATTAACTTGCCCAAAGTCATTGCTGTTAAGTGGCAGAAGTCCCTGTCCACGTTCTGCAGGGGATAGGTAAGCAGCAGCGGCACTCTGACCCCGCCCCGAGCACAGGGTTCTCATCGGTGCTCTCCTTCAGGACTCAGTACTATGCCCTGTGCGTGTTCGCGCCGAGAGGTCAGTGTGCAGATGCATGAATGACAGATTCACATGTCTCACAAGGAACAGCTTTTTCTTGAAACAATACATGTGATACGAACTGAAAGATTGGGGAATATTTGCACATGTCGACATGCAAAAATTGGCAGCCAAACCTAGAAAATCCCAAGTCGCAAATGACTATCTGCTTAAGCTCCTTATTCGCAGACTGGCAGTGACCTTCGTGAGAGCTGCTGCTTTGTGTGTTTTGTCAAACTAAAGTAATCACAGCTGTTTTCTGTCATTTGCAGAGTCAGCGGTTGCAGGAGAGTTTGAAGAAAGTGAACCACATCAAAATCTTGGTATAGTATATGATTTTATGTCTCTGAAACAACTTAGAATGATTTTCTCCAGATTTGATAAATTACAGTGGAATTGTAGTGACTCCAGTAAAAAACCACGTTCTTTGGGAGAGAATTATGCATGTATTTATGACCTAACTATACGGTTAGCCTGAAGCCATACTGTTTAAGTCCCTTTAATGCTTTTCATATAATCCATTTATTCTGTTAAAATTCAGAGTAGCACAAACTGGATAGACTTCACCTGCCTAAAGACTTTAGAACAGTCTCTCCCTGAAATGACAAATCATTTGTGTCTCAGAAGCCAGCTTAAGGTACTAGACTGCCACGTGGTTGACCGAGGTTCAAGTCCCAGACCCAGCAGCTTAAAACTCAGGCTAGGTATGAGTGCATGCATGCCCAAAATCCCAAGAGAAGAATGGAAGAGAAGGGATTGCACCACGCTCATCCCCTCTGGGGGTGATTTCTCACTTTCTATCTCTGTCTCTCCAGCGAGCACATGCACCCTATAGCAGAAGTCTCAAAACAAACAGAAAGTCTTTAGGCTACTCTTTGTGAGACCTGACAGCAGAGCTTTCATTTTTGTGAAAGGGGTGCAGAAGAGAAAACAGTGAGCCCACCCTCATCTTGTCAGGGCATCTTCCTAAAGATTCTCAGGGACTGTTCCCTAGGGACACTAACTAGAAGGAAATGGGGCTTTGACAGCACTGACAACTGTGAATGAAACCAGCTGAGGTTTGCCTGCTTTCATGTTCTGCCGTAGCTGTATTTAGAATTTCATGATATATGTAGGTCAGATTCTGGTACGTAGCTTTACTGGGTGTTTCTTTGACAAGTCTGCAGGATACAGTTAAGTTTCAAACTAATATCTGAATTTATCTGGGGTTTAATTAGTATAGTTTATTTCTGTTTTTGAACTCAGTGGTTTAAAGGGGGAGGACAGGCCTGCATTGCCCCTGAGAAAGAGCCTGGAGCCGTCTGGCCTGAGTTCTGGCAGCAGGGCATCTTGGAAGAGGAGGGTGGGAAAGCAGAGAACTGAACTTAAGTAAGGAGACGTGAGCTACTCGGCAGGGAGAAGGGGACCCTGTGACATTGAGTCATTCTCAGCTTCCTGAGCCTGGGACCTCAGACAGCTCTGGTTACCAAGACACCCCAGTTGTAGCCTGGGTTGAGCAAGCTGTTGGGAGTCGAGGCCCGGCTGGGCCTGTGTGCTTTTTCTGCCGGCTTTGCTGAGCCCACTCAGGTTCTTCCTCATGCCCTCTCTATTCCCCCTCTCCTCCGGGGAGGGGGACCTGATGGTGCCGGTTTTTTACCCATCTTTGGAACATCTTTGTGAGGCCACACAGAGCTCAGGTATAAAGCTTGCTCTGTCCCTTTTTCCAGTGGTGGCTTTTTCTCAGTAGAGGACACAGTGGCAAACACCACGGGGCACTGTGGCCTCTTGGCCGTCACAGTCGTCTTCTTCACAGCTGCTGCTCATGAGGCGCTCACTACATACCACGTGTGGTGCTGGGACCTCATTTCCTTGAACCCTCACGGCAGTCTCTGGATATGCCGTTTCCTCTGCTTGGAAACACTTTCCCCCGTTCTTACCGTGACTGGTTTCTATCTTTCAGGTCTTTCCTGACCCCTCCCTACAGTAACCTCCCACCACCACCCATCCCTGGGTACTTCCTTCGCCGGTGCACTTACTACCGAGATCATATAAGTTTGTTTCCATCGAAGCTTCATAAGGGCAAACTCGCTACTGACCCTCAGCCAAGACCCCGGCCAGGAAAGCCAAGTTCCCGGCCCTGCGTGTGCTCTCCTTCCCCAGCAGCAAAGCTCACCGTCTTCTGTGTCTTCCTCTTTCTGCATTCCCTTTTTTTTGAGGCCAACAGTGGCTTAAACTTTCTTGGTTATTGGTTATTCTCAGTCCAGTATTTCAGGTATTTAGAATGGACAGCTTCAGTATCGGCTCAGTCTGTCGTGTTGCTAGCACCAGAAGTTTACGTATGGAACCCTGTACAGGATTTGTTAGGCACGGTGACATTTGAGTTCAAAGACAGAAAACAGTGGGCCCGAAGGGGGTACACTCAACGTTCCATGAGGGTTTATGGTTCCAGCTGGCGACCACGTGGGTATGCTAGGCGCACGTGTGCTTGTGGTTCCAACTGGACAACGCTGGGAGGTGGATCATGGCACCCGGACCCTGTCAGGGGTGCTGTGCTATATCTTTGTCTCTGTCTCTCACTCATAGCATAAGTAAATAAAAACTTTATTAAAAAAAAAAAAAAAAAGAAAGAAAAGCAAAAGTTAATCATAGTGTATGTATAAGTCTCGCCATTCAAATCATTGCCTTATCTTGACTGTGGATGGGGGAGCAGTTTGATTATTTTTTTTTTTTTACCTTTGTTCCAGCTGGCGACCACGTGGGTATGCTAGGCGCACGTGTGCTTGTGGTTCCAACTGGACAACGCTGGGAGGTGGATCATGGCACCCGGACCCTGTCAGGGGTGCTGTGCTATATCTTTGTCTCTGTCTCTCACTCATAGCATAAGTAAATAAAAACTTTATTAAAAAAAAAAAAAAAAAAGAAAGAAAAGCAAAAGTTAATCATAGTGTATGTATAAGTCTCGCCATTCAAATCATTGCCTTATCTTGACTGTGGATGGGGGAGCAGTTTGATTATTTTTTTTTTTTTTACCTTTTTTGTTCCTACTTGCCTATTGGGCTTATTCCATTCTAATTAAATATTAAGCCTCTGTACCTTTAATAGCATTAATAGTTTTGTTCATGTAGAAGTTGAAGGAGATGACAGATGTGAAAGCATTTAGCCCAAGAACTGTTCATAACTGCAGATTCAAATAGAAATGTTTCTTTTCTTTTTTTTTTTTTTTTTTGGGAGAGGTTTTTGCTATAGGGCGCGTGCGCGCGCCAGACAGACAGAGACAGAGACAGAAAGCGAGAAATCACCCCCCAGGGGGGATAGTCACGCCACAATCCCTTCTCCTCCATTCTCCTCTCGGGATCTTAGGCGCGCACGCACACGCGCCTGGTGTGAGTTTTAAGCCACCGGGTCTGGGACGCGAACCACGGTCGACTACGTGGGAGTCCAGCGACATAGCCATTACGCTAACTGCTGGTTCCCTAGAAATGTTTCTTGATCTGAATCACATCCACATGGTCCTTTGAAAAGTGAGAAGGGCTCTTGGGCCAGTGATTTCTGTCCCCCAAGGTAGATTTCCTGTTGTGGCCTGACTAATGAGTCATCCCCCTGGGAACACAGGCTTTATGGCTAGGACTACAGAGCTGGAATTGTCAAATGCCAGAGAGCTTTTCCCCCAGTGCCACCCACCTCCCCGCAATGCGTCAGAGCCCGCCAAGGGCGTTGCTACACTTGGCATACCCGGATGGCGTGGGGAGCTGAGGGCTGGCCGCACGCTGTCCAGGGCAGAGTGCAAGCTCCAGGCTGGCTTTTGGAGTGCAGGGCAGCCGTTCGTGAAGCTAGCCATCCTCTGTCACGGGTCTAGGAAGTGAGTGTCAGTTCTGAGTGGCAGTGGCAGTAGTTAGGACCAGACACAGCGCTAGACTGCAGTTACGTGCACTGCTGGCGGGACTTGTGTCCTGTCCAGAAAGCTTCACAGGTAGGTGGAAGTGCTTCTTCCAGTGCTTGCTCGCCTTCTGTTTTCTCTATGAGTTTAAAAGGTCCAGTCAATTCTGTATAATCTCTGGGATACTTGGACACACTGGCACTGATTTTAGCTCTACTGTTACTTCCTTTTTTTCCCCAAAGAATGATTTATTTGTGTGTGTGTTTATTTATTTATAGAGGTTTTGGCCTTAGGTCCCATGCACTTGCCAGAAATAGAGACAGAGGCAGAGGGAGAGTGAGAAATCACTCCCCGGGGGGATGGCCATGCTGCAATCCCTTTTCCTCCATTCTCCTCCCAGGGTCTTAGACACGCATGCACACATGCTCAGCATGATTTTCAAGCTACCAGGACTGGGTTTCAAACTGCAGTTGGCCATATGGGAGTCCAGTGATGTAACCACCACGCCATCTGCTGGCCCCATTATTTATTTATTTATTTATTTGCTATAGGGCATGTGCGCTTATTAGAAAGAGACAGAGAGAAAGAATGAAAAAGCAAGCCACCAGGTCTAAGACTCGAACTGTGGTTGGCCATGTGGGAGTCCAACACCTTCACTATCACTACCTACTGGCTCTGTTCTTTCCTTCTTGATCTTTAAGGTTAGACCTATGTTCATCCATTGTTACTGAAGCTTCTCATGTGCTCACCAGAGAGAGAGTGTGAGAGGGAGAAATCACCCCCCTTGGGGGGGATGGCCTTTCTGCATTCCCTTCTCCATTCCCTTTTTGGGATTTTGGGCATGCATATACATGCACACCCAGATGTTTTCCAAGCTGCCAGGTCTGGGACTCAAATGCAGACCCCACACTCAGATGTGGGATCTAGTGCCTTAACCACCACACCATTTGCTGGCCCAGCTCCTGCTTTGATTGCAGTGTACCAATGTCAGATATTAATCTTGTAATTCACAGTGTACTCTCAGGACTGGCTTATAGTTATTTCTAAGAAATATACTAAATCCTTGACTTTTGTTCCTCTAGTAGCCAAAATTAACCTTTGAACCTTTAATGTGTTTATTTATAAGATAGAGCATGCCTAACCTGTTTTCAAGCTCAGGGTTTCATTCTGTAGGTATTTGGGATGACTGTTACCTAGTAATGCCAGACTTACATTTTGTAGGTGGAAGATGAGCTTACTTCTCCAGTAGTGGTATTCAGATTTTTCCAGGAATTACCAGGCTCAGGTAGGTGACTTATAAAATGGTTACTTTTTTTGTATTCATATGTAAAGGCTTTGAATTTGATACCATTTCCAATTAAGCAGACAACACACATTTTTAAAATTTATTTATTTATTTATTATTTTTAATTTGATCAGAGAGAGAAAAAAGGAAAGCAAGAGAGCAAGCCGCCAGGTCCAGGACTCAAACCGTGGTCAGTCACATGGGAGTCTAGTACCTCAACTACCACACCACCTGCTGGCCCCCAAAAAATGTTCTAATTGCTCAAGTCTTCAGTCATCATTTCAGAAAAAATTAACAGTTTTCACAAGAACCTCAGTCTCTTCTTTTTTTTATTTTTAGAGTTTGTTTGTTTGTTTGGCTATAGGGTGCTTACACTTGCTGGAGAGACAGAAAGTGAAAAATCACTCTCCGGGTGGGAATGGCCATGCTGCAGTCCCTTCTCCATTCTCCTTTCAGGATTTTGGGCATGCGCGCACACATGCCTGGCATGAATTTTAAGCCGCCAGGTCCAGGACTCAAACCACAGTTGACTATGTGGTAGTCCAGCAACGTAATCATTTCACCATCTGCTGGTTCTGAACCTCAGTCTTAAAAGCCTTCTCATTTCACTGATAGTTTGCCACAAATAAACACTTAGTTCCCAAATGCCAGTCTCTAGAACTGTGCCGTAATGACTGCCAAAGAATCACTTGAAAGTCCAGATTCTCAGCTTCACTTCCCAGATTTGAGTCAGTAGGTTGGACCCAGGAATTTCTTAGAGAATGTCCTTGGTGCACAAACCTAGTCCATGGCTCCATTTGATGATTTGGCAGTTCTACACACCTCTTCCAGACCATTCTGTATGTGGCAGAGTGAGCGTCACAAGCAGGAGTCAGATGCCATCACGTCCCTGCCCAAAAAGAAAGAAAGAAAGAAAGAAAGAGGCCGGCAGGTGGTGTGGTGGTTAAGGGCGCTGGACTCCCACATGGCCAACAGTGGTTCAAGTCTTGGACCAGGAGGCTTACTTTCTCTCTCATTCTCACTCTTACTCTGTCCTTCTCTGGTCTAATTAAAATAAATTAATAAATAAAATAAAAATAAATATAAATAAATAAATTTCTTTTAAAAAAAGAAAGAAAAAAAGCTCAACTCCAAGATTATGGCAGCTTTGGCTGACATCCCTAGTGCCGGCACAAGGCAGCATCCCGATGCTCAGTAACTGAAGGATACTTGTTGTGAAGCCCAGTTTGGATGCTCGTGGGCACTTTGCCCTTGTCCACCAGGCACGGGCCTAGAACATTCGCTTTGATTTGTTCTTAAAACTTCTTTATAAATAAAACTTATTCAAATGAAATTAAGAATTCTAAGAGGGGGAATGCCAGACAGTGGCACAGCCATAATACATGGTGTTATGCAAGGCCGACCCATGTGAAGGGTTCTCTGTTCAAGTCCTGGGACCTCCCTGGATACACTAGGTGTGTATGTGCCCTTGATCTCAGACTGGCCGGAACTGGGGTCAGGTTGGAACCAAGACCTTCTCAGTAGTACCTGTCTCTTTCTGTCTGTCCTGATTGTAGAAGAAATAAGCAAATAAACTTTTAAAAAGGAAAGAAGAATTCTAAGGAGAGACTTTAAAAGGTTCATGAAAAAGTGAAATTTTAAGTGTATTTTAGTGCAAACAAATTTTTTGCATAGCTTTTCCCTAATATGCATTTTCCTTGAACTATTTAAAGATCCCTCTTATTGTGTGGATGTATTTAAGTGTTTTTTAGTTCACGGGGGAAAAAAAAGTGGAACTTTAGACTTTCAGCCAGATACACATTTGACTTCAGTAACAATTGGGTCACTGTTGGCATCTAAGGGACGAGTGGTTGGAGGGGTTAGCATGTCCCTGAGAGTAAGTCTCAGTCCTGTGTTTTAGCCTCAGACCCAGCGTGTAAAGCTGTCCCGATGGCATCAGATCCAGTGTCCAAAGCCGTCCCGATGCCAAACATGGCACCTTCAGCAGTCGGCCGAGAGAGGCACTCCTGTGATGCACTG